ACATTTCATCTAATGATAAATGGTTTTCCCCAAATGTTTTAAGAGTAATACTCTTGACAAAACATTTATAGAAATCACACCCATACATAATATGCTTGATTCTTTCATGCAATTGTGAATGTTGTCGTGCACTTATTGCGTAGGTTTAGTTATTATTACTTTGCAAATCTTAGCATCTTCATTATCGAACACTTTTATAATAAGATGATAAAATTTTGAGAGTGTTATGGATCATATGTGATTTAGGATTTATTGTCCAAGTGATGGCTCCCACTCATTTTCATGACTTGAGATCTTTCAACTTGAAAACCTATAATCATCAACGTTCGACAACAAACTTTCCATTGAACACTTTCTTATTATTGCCTTCCAAGAAACAATATTCTCAACATATATTTCAGTAGACTTTCTGATGGTGCTTTGCTCGGATTTCATTCCAAATGACTCACGATGATTTGGAAGACCCTAATCACTTGTGATTATGGAAATTTACCTTAAATTTCCGCACATACATGGATGCGCGTCCATGTTACCATTCTCAAGCCACGACGCATTCTAGCTCATGCTTATAAACGATTTCCTTATTAAGGATCTAATTCTTGCTAAGGATGTGCTTGCAAAATCAATTCTCAAATTACATTTGTTTCCATGCGTCAAGAACTTATCCCCTTTTACTTATCAAAGTACTTTGGATTTTTCTTGATCATAATATAATGATTCATCACTTAGATTAAATTGATTGGTATTTTATTCTTCTCATGCTCTAAGCATGTAAGTTGAGTGACGACTCCATATCATAGCATACATGATGGTTTAAATTGCAGAATTATTCCCAATATTATTCCATTCATGTGACCTTTTAGCTCATCCAGTTTCACCGAGTTTTGCAAAACTGTTTGCTATGTGATACGGTTGAAAGTCTCGACTAGAGTCTTTTTTGTTTGACTTAATATTTGCCCAACTTATACTTAGTTCAAACATTTACTTAGTTTTATACATATGGGTCGAAAGCCTTTCAAAGTCCTTCATGTTTAACACGGTAAATTCCTTTACTCGTTTAAACATTTCATTAAGTCTATCCAATTTTTAATTTCCACTATGTACTAAGTATCGCCTTTGGCTTGGTCCTTTGTCGAAAGTCCTTTCAAATCTAAGCATTTAGTATTTGACAGTCATTTCACAATAGAGTTCGTAAACTTCTTGTTGGACCATACAAGATTGACTCTTGCTCCTACTAAACTTCTTGTTTATAAGAATTTCTATGATTCTCCATAAGCCAAACATTTTATTAACTTTATGAGAATACATGTTCCAATTCCTACATACAATGCTTCACTTAATCCCACAATGGATTTCTTGAGCTTGCTTTAAAATCTAGCATTATTTAGAATTACAAAACCCTTAGACTATTTCCATAGTCTCTTCCAAAATTAAATATTAAAAAGGCGGTTTCGTTATCTATTTTGCCATATTTCATATGCGCAATTTTTCTAGAACAATCACGAAAAGACTTAAGCGTTCCGATTGGTGAATAGGTTTTTATTAAAATCAACGCCGTGATTTATTTGTATCCTTTTCAACCAACCTAGCTATGTATGCTTATGCATTTCCACATTTTTCAGATTTCTCCTTACAAACTTATTTGTGATTGATGGGTCTTTCACCCTTCATGCAAATGAATCAAGTTCCAAACATGATTTACAAACATGGAGTTTATTTCGAATTTTATAACCTCTAACCATTATTCGGAATTTGGATTTGTCATAGCTAATTTACAGGATACTATTCACTCACCAACTAATGGTAAATAGTATGCTTGTTTTAGGTTTATTTCTAACTTAATAGAAATTTATAGGATTCAATCCAAGCCTTTGGTGAATTCTATACTTATAAGGGGTAATTGCATCAAACACTGAGTTTCAAGGTGCTTTTAAAGCCCTTTGATTATATTGATCTTACTCCACCACTTCTAAAGTTTTGTGAGGATTTAATTCTCATTTAAGGCACTTGTGAAGTCCTTTGAGTATTCTTGATCAATCATTCTCATGAAGCCCTTCTAAAGTCTTCGTGTGTGTGCTATGGCTAAGTATCCATGGTTGTTCGTGCGTGCTAGCGTAGCAGCACCAAGCAGCACACGCATCGCATCGCACCAGCGTGCTGTATGTGTGTGTGCTATGCGTACTTTCTAGCGTAGAAGCACCAACAAGTAGCACATGGCCACGCCTCTCGCACAGCAGCACGCACCAAGTTGCAGCATTACAACAACGCATACGTGGCCTGCTTGCTGCACGCATGCGTGTGCTGGCTGGCTGGGCTGCCCAGCCTTGGTGCTAGGCGTTAGCTGGCAGCCTTAGCAACCAAGGCAGGCTGCCAGCCAGCCATGTGGCGTGGTCAGCCTGGTCAAGGAAGGGGACCATTTGGTTGGTGTTTGGCTTGGGGAGCAAGGTGTTTTGGTCCCCCCCTTTGGTGGTCCTCACCTACCCTTGCTCTCCATATGTCACTTGGAGCTTGTTGATTGCTTTGCATTTTAATTTATTTTTTGATTAAAATAAATTGGTGGAAAAATGCAATTCTCCCACATTGATGGGACGAGAAGGGAGATCAAGGCTCCCTTCCCTCTAAATACCCAAGTTTTGGGTTTAGGAAAAATGACTTGAGTTGAACTCAATAAGGAATCTCATCATTAGTGAGAGAACCTTTAAGTTCTTAATACTCTAGTTTTATTTGGTTAAGTCCCGACTAACCTTCGGGATAAAGACCGCTCGGGTCGGGTCGAGGGTGCGAGCCGTCGGAGGCCTTCGCACTAGCGAGGTTAAGCTTTAAAGCACGCTTTGAGGGTAAGATCGTCTTTTTTCTTTCTCTCTCTTTTGTTGTTTAATTATGTGATTGCATGTTTAGTTGCTTTAATTAGTGGGCTGGTCTTGGACGGGTTTCTCTTCCGCGTAGTGTCGGACACTACGAAACCCAACAGTAGTATCAGAGCCGCGCTCATTTTAATTATTGTAACTAATAATTATTTGAGGTGATTTAAAATAGATTTAAATTCTAGTTTTGCATTCTAATTAGATTAAAAGACCGTTTAATTAGTTTTAATCTCATATTTATACTAATTTTGGCCAACGAACCTAGATTTCGACTCAAAAATAGTGATTTTTGTGTGGAATCGATGTTCTAAATCATTTTTGACCCTCTTTGAGAACTCTCCAGAAGCCAAAATCCACCCAGAAATATGTTTTTTGAGGGGTTTTTCATTTTTAACGAAAATTTTTAAATCTTTAACCTTGATTAATTATGGGATGTTAAAGGTAGATTAAATGTATGGTTGCATCACTAATCTACTGCAATAATAAACCTTATTAAGCATATTTATGAAGTCATAATTGGTGCTTAAGTTGGTGAGTTCTTTGTGTCACATAAACTTGAAATTTCACAATTTTGCAAATTAATTGCTTCAAGTATGAATGTTTATGGTGAATGTGTAATTTTGAAGTCCCTAATAAGTTAAAGATCCAATCTTTAATTGTTTATTTGGTTGGAACTTTGATTGTTAAATTCCATGTTGAACTAATCTTTGAATATAATCATTTTTGAGTTGATTAAAGTCCTAAAAGTTCAAACTTTAATCATGGCATACCGCAAATGAAGGCCCTTTTAAGCTTCTAGTATGTTTGAAGTTTTATGACTTTAATCAACTCAAAAATGATTAAATTCAAAGATTGCATAATTTTGCTAGAACAATCACAAAAAGACTTAAGCGTTTCAATTGGTGAATAGGTTTTTATTAAAATCAACCCCGTGAATTAATTGTATCCTTTTCAACCAATCTAGCTTTGTATGCTTATGCATTTCCATATTTGTTAGTTTTTTCGTTGAAAACTTATTTGCGATTGATGGGTCTTTCACCCTTCATGCAAATGAATCAAGTTCCAAACATGATTTAAAAACATGGAGTCTATTTCGGATTTTATGGCCTACCATCTAATGGTAAATAGTATGCTTGTAAGTTTTAGGTTTAATTCTAACTTAATAGAAATTGATAGGATTCAATCCAAGCCTTTGGTGAATTCCATATCTATACGGGTCATTGCATCAAACACTGAGTTTCAAGGTGCTTTTAAAGCCCTTTGATTATATTGATCTTACTCCACCACTTCTAAAGTTTGTGAGTATTGAATTCTCATTTAAGACACTTGTAAAGTCCCTTGAGTATTCTTGATCAATTATTCTCATGACGCCCTTCTAAAGTCTTCGGAGATTCTCAGTTTAGGTTTGTTGCTAATCTCGATGGTCATCATCGAATTCATTTTCCTCCCACTTGTCGTTTTGAAAATGTGTTACTTTCCAAAAAGACACCACTTAGAGCAACAAATACTATGTTCTCAATTAGGTTGTGGAAGAAATGCCCGTAGTCTCACTTTAATACTTACAAAGAGACATGTATATTGTCTTTGTGTAAAGGTTTGTTGTGAAACAAACAGTTACACTAGGCGAAAATTGCTAATCAGCACCGGTTCAAAACCTCCATTTCGCACCGGTTTTGATTTGAGGGATGCCAAATCCCAAGACTTTTTGCACCGGTTCAAAACTGGTGCGAAAACTTAATTTGAACCGGTTCGAAAAGTCCCCAAAAATATTTAGAAAAAGAACTTTTAGCACCGGTTCTTGCTTTGAACCGGTGCGAAAAGTGGCCAAAAAAAATTAAAAATAAAAACTTTTAGCAGCGGTTTTGTTCCAAAACCGGTGCCAAAAATGCCCAAAAAAAAAATTATTTTTATTTTTTTTTTGCATTTTTTTCACTTAAATTGATATATAAACACTAACATATATACAAAGTTACATATTTTCATTAAAAAAGACTGTTATATTACAATTTTCCTCCAAAAAAAATTAAATAATCCAGACTTATCTCTGAGTACCTTTCTTGCATTTCATTTAACTAACGAGAAAACTAACAGAAACATACACTTATAGAACTTAAACTCAAAAATCTACTGCAACTATTGTCCAGAAAGTGGCAGCGAGTATTTATTAAAAAGGTTCACTTAAAGAATTTTCAGGCAGTAGATATGACATGATGTATATAAGTAATTAACAAACCTTGTTCAATAAAAATATAGCATACGCTGCTCTGGTGGCATCTTGCCCATCTAAAAAAAGGGAAATTCCAAACACTTCGTATTTGCAGAGGCCAAGGCAGTTGAGGAAGATCCGGAAGATGTGGGATCAATTGAAGGTGTATAGTTTAATATACGAATGAGAACCACCAATGCGCAAAGGATAACTCAAAGGGACATGTAAATATGTAGCTATGAGTGAGATAACCTGCAAAGGACTAAATCAACGTATTAATATCATCCAGACATTGTTGCTGCTTTCTTCTTCTTTCTTTTTCTAAGTAATTGGGAGGACAGGAGAGGACTGTAAAGGGGGGTAAATGTTGCTCATGTGGATTTTCTTGCAAGTCAGCTGAGCTACTAAATATCTACGACTGGCTAAATAGAGTGCATGTTATAGACTCATAGATGAAAGCATGTGAAATATCATAAAAAATCTACGTATGAGGAAAAGCAATTAGCCTGAAGGCTAAACATATCAAAATTAGTAGTTTACCCTAAAATAAGAACATACTATGAATACTCATAATAATAAACATTACATTACTCAAGGGACAAGAAAGTACACACATGGGCAACATATCCAAGAACAATTGTTGACCTCTGAACCTGCTTCTTATCAGTGAAAAAAGTTAACTGTGTGTAAGGAAGCATATTCAGCTGTACACCTGAAATAGTTAAGATCCTTGGTTACTTGATTTGTTCTCATCTAAAGTTCCGCCAAGAGTCCTTGCACATCGATAAATAGTAAGCAGGGGGAAAAGATTATTTGTATGATGTGGAGAAAATGAGTACATAGTAATAAAGAAGTTTCATAATGCATATTTATCGTAACATGCATAACGGTTTCCAACCACTGTAAAGCTATCAAAATTAGAGACAAGGGTAGTCTGATTAAGGATATAGGAAAATGCAAAAGCTAGTTTCATAAAACTGGACTGAGGACTTATGTAAAGAGTTACATTTAAAGATTTTAATTAACCCCTTCTTTATGGCACCAAACCTAATTCCGAATTTAAAAGAAAAATAACAGAAGTCAAACATCTTCCTTGAATTGGCTAAGCATCCATCCCAAACCAGCAATAAGTTCAAAGTAGAAGCATTAAAATAAAAATTATGAAGCAGCATCCAAAAATCTTATCAGGGACCAAATGTAATAAGAATATATGATGTATTGACAATGTCAGAGCTACGAGGTCCATGTTCCAAGTAAGAATTTATGATTTGATGCCTTGGATAAATATGAAGGTATGAATATTCGCCTTTGGGCTTGAAGCTAGGTAAGGATAAAAATTGTTGATTTTAATAAAGATGGTACATATGGATAAAGTACTCTAAGAAAATTACAAAAGTGTTTCCAAAACAGCATCTTTCAATACCTAGACAACCTATTTGTTTTATAGAAGTTTCCAGCATTGCATTATGTACTTTAAGATATTTTAGTGTAATATCTTCCTATGTTCCTTTAATTTTTTTTTTTCATCTAGCATCAAATATAAGCTATTCCACATTCCCAAACAAACACAGGGAGGACTAGTTCCAGTGTTTTTCACAAAAAAACAGATGGAGTACATCTTAGGAAGTTGAACTATCTATGTAATTTAATATTTTTAATCAAATGAACACTAAAGAAGGATCATTTTGTCAATTCAGCCATGTTCGGTCATCACCCAATTATTTGATATTGCTAAGATCCTTCACAGCTAGCCACTCACATATAGCACAAAACATTTAAGAAAAAGTTGATGAGATATTCACATTATCCTGAAGCAAACCAATTTCTGCCTTTACTAATTCGACTGATGAAATTAAGCAACGAAGTAAGCAGCAATTCTATCGATAAATAACAGATAAATTACTCACATGGAAACTTCAACTCGTTTCTCCTTACGCTCATACTCCTGCCTGATCTTCTTCTTCTCTGCTAAAACTAACTGCAATTTCTCAATGTTGAACTCCTATAATCCAAAAAAATCAATCAATTTCTCTCTCCAATCAAAAATCTAACCAAAATAATCAAAATTTCAAATCAAACAAAAAATTGTTCAATTAAAATTCAAAATCAACAAAAAATTCAAACAAAAATCAAGCGATTTGCTTACTTCTTCGGCAGCAACAGAGATCTCGTTAGCCTAAGAAATTTACATCTTAAAGCAAACATGAAATAAGCTCTGCAATTTACAAGTACATAAGAAAATTAATGCTAACTAGACAAGTCTGAGTGCAGAAACGAATACATAGTTTCATTGCAAAACCTTTAAACTTGTGTGTGGATTGTTCAGCAACATTCACATTAGGATCCTTTGGATTCTGTCTGGAAGGGCCTTGATACATGTTTTCCTGAATTTCTCTGTTTGGATCAACCAAGACAAGCTAAAAAAAACAGGATTAGTAAGAATTGGACAAAGTAAACCTTTAACCAATAACCGATGAAGCATTGAGAAGATAAAAATTAACATTATGAAGATAAAAGTTTCTATTACATTGCTTTAGTTTTACAAGAAGCATGTCAAAAGATAATTAAGATGAAGAAGATAAAAATTAACATTGATTGTGCTCTCAAGTAATAAAGTGCAAACAACCAACAATCCTAGGATTATATTTCTTGATCTATAGCAAGCTAAAAGAATTACATCTCTTGAAACCAAAAGACACACATCAAATAATCAACAAAAATTGAACCACAACATCAATCCGAGAGGTGAAGCCACATTCAAGGAAGGGTTCCTCACCTAAGCCCCTAGAAGGCTAGAAGCTTCAATTCAAGAAGCCGTGGTCATATGTTCGTGTTAGACCCTCGACACTCTATTATCATAGATATGGACATACACTTTGACACTTCAATCAATTTTTAAGGAATTACCTGAGTAATTAAGGTTTTGTCCAAACAGTAGACGCTCCTCCACACCCTACTAAAATATTATTATCAGCATCAATCAAAAGCGAGCATTTTCCCTAATAAATTATACCCACACTAATATTATTAAGTATAAATCATACAAATATAGACAAAATCCACACCATAAGTCATATATTTAAAAAAAAAAAAAAGACTTAATTTTTTACTATGTTACACTTAACAAAAACCCACAAAAACTAATTTTTGTTTTTTTACAGATTTCCACATGAATCACAACCCCATATAAAATTACTTACAAAAATAAAACATGGGATTTCAGCATCATTCATCAAAATCACAACCCCATAATAAAGTAATTAAATGAAATATTTTAACACTAATCCATGAAATTTTCTGCAAAAAAATCTGGAAAATAAAATAAAAATGCGGTGTAAATTATTATACCTGAAGAAAGACGAGATTTTTCCCAAGCAAAGAATCCAAAGAACTAAACATCTGAATGTGATTCCAATAAAACAACCTCAGACAATTTCTAAATAGACAATAAGCTGAATTCCCACACACATAAACCAAATTAATGCAATCAATCAACTCATAAACCAACCCTAAATAAATTAACACACACACATATACACCTTCAACAATATAAACCTTCAACTAATTATCCCTTTCAACAAAACAAATCGAATTTACACTTACAATGTTTTGGAATCCAAAATACGGCTTGTATTCAAACGGAACCATGGCTTCGCATCAACCAGAACAACGCCTTCAAACGCCCAAAAATTGAAATTCAACTATTTGATGGTTTACACACCAACCCAAATTGCATTTAAAATTTCAATTGTTCATCATTAATCAAAAAAAATAAAAAATCATAAAACCTAGATTTCAAACGCCCAAAAATAACAAAAAAATAAAAAAATTCATGAAACCTAGATTTCAAATCAAAGAGCACATACCTCGAATTTGTGATCTTTGAATCGATAATTGATTTAAGTTTGTTGTTGTTGTTGTATTTGGTTCAAATTGATGGCGGCCGATTTCGGACTAAGAAGGAGAAGGAGAGCGGTGTTGCTTGCAGTGCAGTTATGGAGAAGAAGATCGAAGGAGAGAGAAAAGGAAAGCGAAAGCGGCGGTTATGGAGAAGGAGATCGAAGGAGAGAGAAGGAGTTTGACGCTCCATTGTTGTAGATGAGAGAGGCAGATGAGAGAGGAAGAGAGATCGGGGAAAGAGAAATACATAAGACAGAAAACGAAAGAAAGAAGATAAGGCCCTTTTTTTTTTCTTTTTTTTTTTTAACAATTTTACAATAGCTTTCCCACCGGTTTGAACCTAACCGGTGCGATTAACTTATTTTTCACACCGGTTTGGTTAGAACCGATGCGAAAAGTCTTCCCCTCAATCCCGCCTATTATTTTTCACACCGTTTTTTAAAAACCGGTGCGCATTTTGCGATGTCTATTTCATTTTTTCTACTAGTGTTAGCTCCTTCTTGAGCTACCTTAGCCCTTATTGAGAAACTTAGCTCGCACTAAGCCAAAGAACTCCCACTGAGCTAAGAGCCCTAGACATATACTTGAAAAGACGCTAGAAATTATTTCTATCCATAGCTTAATATGGTGTCCTTTCTTAGCTTTGACACTTTTGTTTAGTGTAACACTAGTCATTTGTGCAAATCTTTAAGAAATTTATAGGAAGGGGTGTGATCCATCATCATTCGAGTCATTTCCAAATGGCATCGAGGTCTCCGTCAAGACACACTATGTTCTTTGTGGAGCTCATTATGAAATTTCAATTTCATAAGTTTGATATGATCACATTTGGCTCAAGCAAACATCGCTCGATCTAATCTAGACGTTATGATATCTTGCCAAGTCGATTCTATACTTCACTGAACATTTGAGCTACTCAAGGTCTAGATTGTTCCCATTTGATAATGTAGCCACATTCATTTAAATTCTTGTGAGACGATGAAGTAATGGAATCCTCTTTAGCTTTTGGAGTCAATTGTATGTGCCAAGCACATTAGCTCTTTTCTTTGTCGATTTCAACAAGTGAGACTTGCTTGTCTTAGAACGATTCCGAATCGATCAACTATCAAGAGTCTATCTAATAGAGCCTTGAGTATTTTCTTATCGATGTGACATTGCAAAGATGTTTCAAACACAAATCATGTCCAGGACTTGAACCTTGTGAGTTTTTATGTTAGGGAAATGTTTGTTTATAATCTAGCATTCTTGACTCATGGCTTAGACAACCATGCAATTCAAATATAACCCATAACTATTGCTCTTTTATTGAATGTGAGTCTTTCTGTGTGTAGACGGATCATTTGCTGATTATGGAACACAATAACCATTATTCGTTCCAGCCTTTGCTCAAAAGGACTTTAAACAAAACAAATGACCTTACAACTAATGTAGCATTACTTGCTTCATTCTAAGCTTGTAAGTCAATAACTTAGCTTGTCTTCAATGGTTTGAGGTCAATTTAAAAGTGGAACACTCAAGCAGTATCCAATACTTATGAAGATAAAGAATTGCTAAGTTGATCATAATAATATGAACTCATGGGTAGAAAAGGAATTTTATTCCTTTCCTTTGTTCCTTGTTTCCTATATTTCTTATCATACACCATCTCATAACTTTAAGAACCATTTCTTTAAGTGCCTAGAATTTTACACTTTGTTAGGCATAACTAAGCATCTAATGCGCCGTGAAACAAAGTTTCATCTTTTCCTTCAATTCGTACTTGAATTGCTACATTAATGAGTCCTACTCATTTGTGTATGAAGCCAAAAGATACGTTGGTTGTCAAAGATTGAAAATTTGAGTTATCCAACTCAATATTTCATGTTCATCAAAACTACCCAGTATTTTGAATACATGATATCCAACCGTCCTAAAAGTCAATTTTGAGAGGTTGTATTTTAGAAATTCCTTTCCATTCTCAAAAGATTTCCTTTACCAATCATTGAAACCAATATAATTTGATATAGAATTCTACAAATATAAGTGCAAAGTATAACAATTTATCAAGCTCATAACATAATAAGTTTGAAATTCAAAGCATACATGCAAACTTTCAATCTTATTACACGTGTTATCCACGCATTAAAATTTGTCCCTCCTAGGCGAGAATAAAACGATTCCAAGATCCCTAAAATCAGAAACTGATTAAGCATGCTTTGGCTTGTCTTAACAATTATTATTTTAGGGTAAGCTATCCAATTGCTAATAGCTCCAAGCTACTCTTGGTTCAATAAAACGTCGCATCTTATGCTTCCTTGACAATTTATCTCCATTGCCACGATATCTAAGGACTACTTACTGATATCGTTGAGCTTAACCAAGACGACTTGTATACCTAGTATACCTTACGTTCCTAGGGAAGCGCTGATGCCTCGCTTTGGCTTAGCCAGTCACCACGCGCATTAGTTCGGTAACTGTCGTTCTTGGAATGGCAAATTTGGCTCAATATTATAGGGACCTAGGGTTTCTATGTTGGTTGATTTATTTGAACTTAATTAATTATCACAACATTTGAAATCCTAAACATGCATCTATCATACTATTCAATCATATATAAACACAATTATATATAAAACATAAGTAAATGATGCATTTGGCAACTAGCATGACCCCTAGAAATCTTCAATGGTCTCCAATGCAACTTCTTTGGCTTGTCTTCTTAGAAACGCCGTCTTTGAGACATCTCCGCCAACTAAGCATCTACTAGCTACTACGACTAAGAATAATCTAAATATTAAGGTACAAAAATACGCAACAGTACACTGAACGTATTTAGATTTACAGAAAATACATAACGTATCGCAGTCCATATTTACTATCCTAGTCGGGCCCCACTAGTGTGCTGGGCCACGGACCCAGCCGCATCATCGCTAGCTAAAGAACTGTAGCAGCGCGTTATGCGTGCTGTTTTATGGCAATGTGTGCTAGCATAGCAGCCTCACGCATCGCAACCTCTCGCATACAGCCACGCATCGCAACTTGCTATGTGATGTGGTTGTGCATGCTTACGTGCTGGGCATTGCAGCATGCTAAGTGCTGAGACTAAGCATGCTTGTGTGCTAGGCAGCACCTAGCATACACTACAAAGCAACAGCAGCCCGCATTGCATGTGTGGCTTGCTGGCGGCGTGCATGCGTATGCGGGCTAGCCAGCTAGCCTAGCTAAGGTGCCAAGCGCCAGCTAAGCAGCCTTGGCAGCTAAGGCACGCTGGTTGCCAGCTATACGTGGGCTGCTCTTGAGTTTTGGTGGGGACCGATGCTTGGTGGCCTTGCTTGGGGAGCAAGGGAATTTATGGTCCCCCCCTTAGTGGTCCTCACCTACCTTTGCTCACCCTTTGCCACTGGTAGATTGTTGATTGAATTGCATTTTATTTTGTTTTTGATTAAAATAAAATAGAGGAAAATGCAAATCTCCTACATTGATGGGAGAATGGAGATCAAGTCTCCATTCCCTATAAATACCTAAGTTTTGGGTTTTGGGAAGAACACTTGAGTTGAACTCAATAAGGCATCTCCCTATAGGTGAGAAAAACTTTAAGTTCGTAATACTCTAGTTTTTTCTTGGTCTAGCCCCGACTAACCTTCGGGGTAGAGGCCGTTCGGGTCGGGTCTCGAGGGTGGACTCCATCGAAGGCTCTCGCTTGCGGAGCTAAGGCTGTAAAGTCCGAGCTTTATAGGAGCGAAGCATGCGTCGAGGGTAAGAATGTATTTTCTCTTTCTCTCTCTTATGTTGTTATTTATCTGTTTAAATATTTAGTTGCTTTAATTAGTGAGCGGGTCTTGGGCGTGTTTCTCTTCCGCGTAGTGTTGGACGCTACGATACCCAACACTATGGTAGTAGTAATGATTTGGTTGTTGAAGGTTATACTGACGTGAGCTTCCAAACTGAGAGAGACGACTCCAAGTTGCAGTCAGGGTACATATTTTACCTAAATGGAGGGGCGTTTAGTTGGAAGAGTTCTAAGAAAAGCACCAGTACAGATTCTACAACTAAAGCCGAATACTTGGCAGCTTTGGAAGCAGCTAAGGAGGCAGTTTGGATTCGTAATTTCATTAGTGAATTTGATGTTGTACCCTCCATCAAGGGTCCTATAGACTTTTACTATGATAACAATGGAGCTATTTCTCAGGCTAGGGAGCCAAGGGAACATCAGATGGTCAAACATGTCAAGTGGTGATTTCACATGATAAGGTAATGGAAGTCCGATGGTGAAATCAAAATTTGTAAGATTGGAACAGACGACAATGTAGCTGATCCATTGACTAAACCTTTGCCTCAAGTGAAGCACAACAAGCACATTGAGACAATGGGAATCAAGCATGTTGGAGATTGGCATTGATTTCCATGTATATGTGTTTTAATTAAACTTGATGTCTTAATGTAAAACACTATGTTGAACCATTCGATTTTGGAGGAATTAAATTTTCTGCAAATTTATTATTACTCCATTTCTATTTAATTGTGGTTTAGAATGTAATAAAGAGTCCATTCGATTTATGAAAATATTTAAAACATGGTATCAAGACCATGTCTTGGATAAAGAAACACCTGTTAAGTGAACATTGAATATTTCAATCGAAAATTATCCCTAATCAAGGTCATTTAAACGATGGACGATTAATGACCACTTGAGATTAGTGTGTAGTGTGATTTATAGCACCGTTTCTTGTGCTACGAGGACATGATTGTCATAAATCATTTGCATATGTATTAGTTTAGAACTATACCGGATCAACCTATGAGAATACTTTAAGAGATATAAAATCGTCAAAAGTATATTTCTCATTATAGCTATCGGAACCTTTTTCCTTGACCATGAGTATCGTAAGTTCTCTTGTTTGAGTACTAGTCGGGATTATAACAGCAACACTCGGGCGACTAGGTCCGCTTAGTATGGGAAGCTAACAATGCAAGACTGGGAATGTCCTCCTATTAATAATAGGGAATATGTCTTTGTTGTTTACCAGGCTTCTCGAAGAGCGAGACTGTGAAAATGCATGGCCGTGCTCTGATGGATTATAGAAATCATCTGCTTATTGACAGTCGAACTCGAAAATCGAGAAACACTTCTGGACGTAATAAGGATGATGAAGAATCTTACCTTATAGTTCATGAAGAGACATTAAGCGACATAGGAAAAGGGCTATACACGAACTGCACACTTGTCCGGAAGGACAAGTGGGAGATTGAAAGGAATGGTGTCCTTCCAACAAGTGTATTATTCCGATAGAGGGTTCTGAATTATTAGTAAGCTAATTATTTAGTAAGTTCAAGTGATCGGAATGCCTAGGTGGAGGCCGCTTCCGATCAGCAATATTAATGTATAATTAATGTTACGGCTTAATCTTGACTGAACCCTTCGGGTCGCACCCGAATCGAGTAACCGATCTAAGACAACAAATTAATCCAAAGGATTGGATGAGTCATTAGAGTATTATGAATAAAGGCGTCGAATATCGAGCTTAGAGC